AATTGAAGAGGTACCTGTCGTCCCCACCCGTGCTCTCCAAGCCCAAAGCCGGCGAAACCCTCTTCTTGTACTTAGGGTTGAGGACGAAGGGGTGCAGAAGGCCATTTTCTACATCAGCAAGACACTCAGGGAGGCCGAGCTCAGGTACTCCCCCATTGAGAAGACGGTGCTGGCCATCGTCCACACAGTGAAGAAGCTGGGGCACTATTTCCAAGCCCACACCGTCCATGTGCTGACCCAGCAGCCTCTTGGCGCACTCATGAGGAGCCCCACAAGCTCCTCGAGGATGGTGAAATGGGCGATCTTCCTCAGCCAGTTTCAGATTGAGATCAAGCCAAGGCCATCCATCAAAGGGCAAGCCTTGGCCGACTTCATCATTGAATGCACAACAAGGGAGACGGCCGTCGCCAACCCCGGGCCGGAGCCGGACGATACGTGGACCCTGTTCACTGACGGCTCGTCAGCCGCGAAATCATGCAGCGGCGGCGTCGTCCTCATATCCCCTGAAGGGTTCAGAGCTTACTATGCCATCCGCTTCAACTTCAGGGTATCCAACAACGAAGCCGAGTATGAGGCCCTCCTCAGCGGTCTCAGACTCGCCGCCGGCCTCAAGGCCAAGCACCTCAAAATCAAGTGCGACTCCAAACTGGTAGTGGGCCAGGTGGAGGGATCGTACGAAGCAAAGGAAGGCCGGATGAAGCAGTACAAACAAGCGGCGGAGGAATTGCTGAAAGCGTTTGAAACCCACGAGATCACTCAGATCCCAAGGGCCGAGAACGCCGAAGCCGACATCCTCTCCAAGCTCAGATCGGACACCCCGAAGCACATCTCCCAGTTGGCCAAGATCGAGGAGTTGAGCATGTCCAGCATCCATGCCAGCCCCGTCTTGTGCGTCCAACAGCGACCAGAGGACTGGATCTCCGACATCGCCACCTTCATCACAACGGGGGAGCTGCCCCCGGACGAGGAGAGGGCCAAACTTGCCAAACTCAGGGCCCCAAGCTACACCATCGAAGATGGCAAACTCTACAAACGGTCCTATAATGGCACCCTCCTCCGATGCCTACACCAGGATGAGGCCGACATAGCCATGGAAGAAGTTCATTGTGGCGTCTGCTCCTCACACCAGGGCCCTTTCAGCATGTCCCGACGTCTCGTCGTCCAGGGCTTCTTCTGGCCGACGATGGCACGCGACTGCGCTGACCTGGCCAGGAAGTGCACCACCTGCCAGGTACTCCAGAAGGCCCCTGGTCGGCCAGCTGTCAACTATGCCCCTGTCAGCACCGCAATTCCATTCTCCAGATGGGGGATTGACCTGGTCGCCCCCCTGCCCAGAGCCGCCGGGAATAACCGCTACATCATCGTCGTTGTCGACTACTTCACCAAGTGGGTCGAGGCGGAACCCCTGGCCAGCATCACGGGGGCCAGATGCCAAAAATTCGTTTACAAGAACATCATCACACGCTTTGGCGTCCCCCAGGAGATTATATCAGACAACGGCACCCAATTCGAGGCAGCCCCTTTTCAAGAACTCCTCCGGGAGTTTGGGGTAAAGCATCGTTTCTCCTCCGTTGCCTACCCTCAGGGCAATGGGCAGGTCGAGAACGCCAACAGAACAATCATGGAGGGTCTGAAGAAGAAACTCCAGGCCGCAGGAGGTAGTTGGGTCGACGAGCTCCCCAACATCCTGTGGTGCTACAGAACCATGCCAAGGAGGGCGACAGGTGAAACGCCTTTCGCCCTGTGCTACGGCTTTGAAGCAAAGGCGCCCACGGAAGTTGCCATCCCCAGCCGACGGGTGGAACAATATGAGCCTGACACCAACGAAGAGAACATGAAGATTGACCTACACCTGGTTGATGAGAGGCGTGAACAAGCTTACGTCCGAGCAGAGAACTACCGGCGTCAAGTAAAATCATACTATGACGCCAAGGTACGTTCCCGGGAATTTCAGGTGGGGGACTACGTCCTCCGCCGAAGGGAAGCAAGCCAGCCGACAGAGGGTGGCAAGCTAGCATTGAAGTACGAAGGGCCCTACATCGTCAGTGCCGTGGTCAAACCCGGCACCTACAAGCTTAAACGCCCGAATGGGTCCAATGTACCACGAACGTGGAATGTACACCATCTGGTGAAGTTTTATCAGTGATCCGAAGGAGGTGCAGACGGCGAAGCCCTCACCCCTTGACGGGTTACTGATTGAACGCCACCCTCGGCCTCGAGCCACTTATGAATAAAAGCATGTTCTAATTTTTTTTTCTGGAATTTAAAGTAAAACATTAGCAGGTGCCCCCGTCGGCCACCTTAGAGCGAAAGGCTCATGCATGGCCGACGAGGCCCCCTTGCATTTGAAACCTACGAGCAACAAGCTCAGGCGCTCCATTGTATTTTGTATCAGCGAAGGGCTCAGGCCTAGCTGAGAGAGCACATCGTCCTGGCCCTGTAAGCCTAGAAGTGAAACGCTCAGGTATGGCCGATGATGTCCCCAGGACGAGGGGCCCGCAAACGGCCCACGTCTTGAAACGGGAAGCTCACCGCATCGTCCACGCGCCAGATCGCAGGACGACAAGCCTGAAATCATGGCCGAGGTGACAAAATCCCAAAACTCAGGGATGGGCAACGACAGCCATTGGAAACCGACCAAAAGTCTAGCCCGCGTCATAAATAGGCGACGGGACCCGCCCTGAGATCACGGACGTTATAAACGAAGTCCGAACCGGCCGAAGGACGAGCACACCCTTCGGCCGAAGCCTGAAAGAAGGATACCCCCGAAACAAAAAAAAAAATAATATAAGGGAAAAAGAGGGAAGCCGACGGTCGCGCACACCAGCCGGCCTCGAGCAATGAAAAAATAAAATCCCCACAACTCAGGCCCAACTAGGCCAAGTACATATCAGTTGAACACAAGTGTAGTACCACTGACAGGTAACATGGATGACACGTCCACACACTACAAGGGAATAATCAAGGCCGAAACACACGCCTATAAAACCCTAACCGCATCGGTTGGGTGACACGCGAGAGGTGACCTTCATCGGCCATAGTCCTTTGAGGCACCAACGCTTGGTATGAAACAAAGCATCGCAATCCTGAGGATGACCAGGACGAAGCGGGCACTTATCACACCCGCGAAAGGATCAAGCAATCAAGAAACAACCTCTACTTGCCACAACATCTCGGATGGCCGATGCAGGCACTGGAACCAAGGCTGTTGGTCAAGCGAAAGTTCTTGGGGAATTCGTTTAAGTGTTTCCCAAACACTTAGAAAAAATCCTGAGAAAAGAGAGGGTTCCTCAACAAGGAACCATGGCTAGCCGACGAAGGTAGGACCATCTCCTTGGACAAACCATTCCTTATCCAGCACCCTCATCGGCCACAAGCCAGACCTTGCCCGACAGCGGCACCGCAAAGAAGTAATTGCCTAACATTTATACTTAGAAAATTATCTAAGTACTCAAATGAAGGAACTCTAGCCGAAGCGGGTACCAGTATACTCCAAGGCCGTTATCTACCCATACCTCTACATGTGTACTTAGAAAAATTCTAAGTTCAAAAAGATCAAGGTTAAGGTGCCCTTATCAGCCACAACACAAAGGATACAGGCCGACAACGACACTGGCTCAAACACTTGGGACATCTCCCAGAGCATTTGTCAGAAATGATGAATCCAAGGCCCGGACGGAGCGGACACCACGGTCAAGGCTGAAAAGGGAAGCACCTAAAGGGATCCAAAACACTTAGGAAATTTTTGAAAAAAAAAACCCTAAGTGTTATGGTAGCCAAGAACCACCGGCCAAGCCGACAAGGCCACCAGGCCACAAGGAAGCAACTGTAAGAACCCAAAAACACTTAGGAAATTTTTCGAAATAATCCTAAGTGTTATGATACTACATCAACACGGTCAGGCCGACCAAGCCACCAGACCGGGAAGAAGGCATCCAAGTGAACCCAAAACACTTAGAAAATTTTCTGAAAAAATCCTAAGTGTTATGGTAGTAAAGCAACGACGAACAAGCCGACCAGGCCACCGGACAGGGTGGACGACCTCACGGACATAACGGACACTCCCGGGTCACCCAAGTTGTGACCTTGACACTTAGAAAAAATTTCAAAAACGAAATGACAAAAAGCAAACAAGCATACAAGGGATTCAAAGCCGAACAGGACGGCAATTTTTTTTTCATTGATAGTCAAGTTCATTACAATTGGGGGGCGCTACGGCCGTTACAAAATTTGCAAATATAAAAATTAACTACAGAGTAGCCGATCAAGCCTCTGGGGCACCTCCATCTGCGGCTGGCTCTTCAGCCTCGTCGGCCCCCTCCTCGGCTTCAATCTCCTGGCCGGCGGCGGCTGCAGCACTTGTGGCGTCGTCCAAAAAGTCAAACTCGGTGTAATCCGGCTCGCCAAGGCCGGAGCTTTCAATTGGGGACTCCCGCTCCGACAACGGAAGCTTTGCCTGCTCTTCTGGATCCTTCATCAGCTTCGGCAGCTTCAGGTTCCGTCTGGCCCACCCAGACGTATAGTTCATGGCTTTCAAAGCACGAGAGAGCCGCCGACACAGGAGCCTTTGCATCCGCTCCTGGCCAAGGTTATAATACACGGACATCTCTCGGCTGAAATACTCCTGGCCGGCGGGGGAGTTCATCCCCCAACTCTCAAGCCTGGCGGCCACCACCTCGTAGCACCAGGGGAGCCTCTCATCGGCCTTCCACCCCTCGGCCAGGAATTTCTCGACGGCCTCGTCAGCAGCCCTCATAACGGCGGCCTCGGCCTCCGCCTTCGCCTTGACGGCCTCCTCGCTCTTGCGCCGCTCGGCCTCCAGGGCCCATTGGGACTCCTCGAGCTCCCTTTTGCTCTCCTCGAGCTTGGCCAGGGCATCATCCCTGGCTGCGGCGGCTTCATCGGCCATGGCCTGCAATGCCCTGGCATCCTCCCGGAGCCGGTCCAGGCAAGCTACCGCCTCGTCGGCCGAGGCGGCCTTCTGCTCCAGCTCCTTCAAGCGAGCTATCTCTCGGTATTGCCTCTTGTGGCTCTCCATTAGCATGAAGGCACCCTGCAGAAACAAGGGAAACAAAAGTCAGGCAAATGGTTTTACACAGACGACGAGAAAGACAACGCATAAGGAAGGTAACTTACTTGGACGAGGAGGTCCATGTCGCCCTCGTAGATATTCACGTCCCCGAGTTTCCTCAGGTAAGCCCGATCCTTGGCCGGCATGGCCTGCGCCAGGACGTCGTGGCCACGGACGACGTCATCGAAGACACCCCCGCCGACGGGGTATTCTACCATCTTCTGGTAGGTGGCACCTGCAATCTCTTTGCCGGCCCTCTTCGTCCGTGGCTCCTGGACGAGAGGCAGTGATGGAGCAGCATCACCAGCAGCAGTAAGGTCCACGACAGGACCACTATCGTCCACGCTGGGGACAGCCAGAGTACCGGCCTCAGTAGCCGGAGAAGGGGAAGGAGCCCTCTTCGTCTTCTTCGAGACGCTCAGGCCGGCCTCAGTTAACTTTTTCTGGCCGTCAATGGCCGGCCTTTTCTTCTTCGATGGAGCAGGCTTTGGGGCCGCATCAGCAGTAGCCCCGCTCCCACCGGCCGCGGCACGTCTGGCCGCCTCGGCCGCCTTAGCAGCCAGCTCCTCGGCCGCTTTGGCCTTGGCAATAGCCATTATGGAACGTCGGTCCATGGCAAAATCTACAAAGGAAAAACAAAACGGATTAGTAAGGCAAAGGACAAAAACATAAAAACAGAAAGCCGAAAAAATAATTACCATCGGCCTCAGCAGGGATGCCCAAATCCGGGCCGTCGGCCTCTTCAAATGTGGTGGTCATCCTCGGCCAGAGTTGGAGGTCATCCTCCTTATCTCCATACAGGTGGTATCTGAAGAAGCCGAGGGCGGTCATCTTGTATTCAGTAACGTAATCCTTCACGCTCCTCGGCCCCCCTTCCAGGAAAGCCTCCACCTGAGCGTCCAAGATAGAGCTCTTCGACGGGTCATGGAGATTGAACCTCCTGGTATGGCCGAGAGAGGGGAACTCGGTGCCACTCTCACCAATGGACACAAACACGAACTTGCTCTTCCACCCATGAATGGACGTAGGCAAATCCGTGAAGCTCCTCTTCTTCGGCAGCTGTTGAAGAGTAGCATAGGCCGCACAGTTCTTGTGGCTTCCTCGGCCGATCTGGTACAAATTCATGAATAAGGCCGTTGTCGGCCTGTAGCCCAGCTCCTCACACCGAAGTAAAAAGCCCACCATCAAGGAATAACTGTTCGGCGTCAGCAAGGCCGGAGGAAGCCCCACCATGTCCAGATACTCAATGATGAAAGGGTGAAGGGGGAACCTCAACCCCTTAGCAAAACTCATCGGGTATACTCCAAAGTATCCCGGTGGCGGAAGTAGAACATGGTCCGTCAGCCTGGGTGCCCTAACCCGCCCGAACGGCCCCACGTACATCTGGGCGACAAGATAGTCGGCCGCACTGCTCTCCGGCTTGATCAGGAATATGTTGGTGAGGTCCAGATAGGAGAGGCCCGACCCATTCTTCGGCCTCCTCACTCTCTTCGGCTTAGCTGCTCCCTTCACGGCAGACACCGGCCTCGGGCACGGAATGACAGCAGAAGTGGACGCCCCGTCCACCACTCGGGACGCACCTACGTCCTCACCCTTTGAAGAGGAGGCGGACTCCTCGTCCTCGCCTTCCTCGTCCACCGGCTCTCCGGATTTGTAGGGACTTAAACGCTCTATCTCCTCTTCAAACTCCTCGAGCACCTCGTAGTCAAGCGACCTCGTGGAGGGCTGGTCGTCGTAGGGGTAGTAGTCTTCGTTCAAGCTCTTCATAACTACTACTACGGGCCTAAGGAGACTAACTTAAGATCTAAGGGTGTTCAAACGCCTAACACTAGATCAACAACCTAGGAAGCAAAGTATGAAAAATGAGGAAGATCGCGATGAACACTAACCTTGAACAACGAAGAACACGAAGAACAGGCTTGGGAGTTTATCTCTCTAGAAAATCGGCCAGCACTTCGACAAATTCAGAATGCAAATACGTTTTCTCGTCGGAGGGGGAGGGGTATTTATAGAACCCCCCACCCAACGGTCACTACACGTGGCACCCCCCCAATGGCCACGCCAACGGCCACCAATGGGGGGCGACCACGTCACCAACGGACCAAACTCAATATCAACAGCCCACTGGCAGGACGGACTCTACGGCCTACACACGCTCACCGGCTTTACAAATGCCAACAAGCGCCCACTACGTCCCACTTGCTCGCCAAGATCACAACTGCCAAACAATAAGGAGACGGCAACGGCCATGAACGTAACAGCCACAAGATCAAAGGACCCAAGAGCCCAAAAGCCATCGGCTCCTCGTAATAACCCTTGATGATAACTCTCTACAAGCGATCTGCGCACAAGGGTTCTCCCACAGGGTTACCTTGGCCAGAAAATCGCCATGAGGGTTGGATTCAGGGGGACTACGGCGAGACCGCTTCGGCCGGGGACTCAAACAACTCCTTCACCCCTCACACTCTTCGGCCTGAAGCAGTGGGGGACTGGGGGACTACACCGGCCTCAACAAAACAAAAGAAAATGCAAACAAGGTAACCACAAAGCATGGCCACATCATCCATACAGCACAACGGAACTTCATCGGCCAAAGGCCCATAACGTCACTAGCGACGGCCAACAAGCCACTAGAGGCAAGGACACTCATCGTCCTCCGCCAACAATTAATCTTGACATCAAGTAAACAACGGCCTCCCTGTCCACAACAAGGAACAGATAACGGCCAAGGGCGCCAAAGCATAGGAATCTACTCTCCTTCACTTCGTCTACGTCTCAGCTTAGAGAGTGGGGGACTCCTGATGGAGTATATGGGTCTGAGCCCCCGGACCCACATACTCGGAAGAACAGAAAGCACAAGGCACAGAGTGGCGCCCTCGTCGGCCAGGACGCCCCCGTCGGCCGAAAAGGGGCCAACTCGGATTATGGTCCTGAGTCCAAGGAACCCGGGTGCCCTCGTCGGCCGTGCCCTCGTCGGCCACGAAGACCTCACAGAATCGGATTTTATACTTACTCATTTGTACAGCCCATTAGTGGCTTTGTATTCGGCCCAGTAGCGGTCCAGTTGTAAATGGGCCTCCCGAGCCCAAGGCTTGAGAGCCCAACCCTAATTTTCTCTATAAATACTCCCCTTGGGAGTAGTTATAGGGGTTACCAAATCATTCTATTGAAGCATATTATTGCACTTCTCTCTCTAGCTCTCACTTCTCTCTAGATATACTCTATCATATATATATATATATATATATATATATATATATATATATATATATATATATATATATATATATATATAATGCCAAATGGTCAATGTGTCGGCCATTCATTAGATCGTGCATACTAACAACCAAAATGCATATAAAAGACAAGATTGTTGCATGCAAGGAAGGTCCACCGACTCTCTCCCTTCTCCGTTTGAATGAGTGTGGTCCAACCCACACGGGTAGCTCAATTGATCAAGTGGTAGGAAATTTAGAACATTGACCAAAGTTCGAAATTCGCAGCTGCCTTGTGGAGGTTATAGCTCATGTGTGCTGGACTGGACCTTTGGTGTGCACGACTATAAGACCTACCATCATTGAGTCGACTGAGTCAGCACAAATGTATTTCAGCCAATTAGCCCACTTGTAAGCCTTAAGTTAGACATCCTTATGTGTAAAAGGATGCTAACTTAAGCAAACCCTAACTCCCACAAGCCTCACACACATTAACGCTCATATCTTTTTGAGAGCTTATACGGTATAAGGAAGAGGGAGTTCATCGTTAAAATATTTTTCTATCATTTGTGATTATGTCCTTCTATTATATTGTATGATTGTTGATTAATTTTGGGATTAAAAAAAAAGATAACTAATTAGATTGAACACCAAGGGGGAGATTGTTGGGAATATTTTATGGTGTCCAATCTAATTAGTTATCTTTGTATTTGTGTAGTTATTAATTAAATGTGTAATATGGGCCACAAATGTATTTCAGCTCATTAGCTCACTTGTAAGCCTTAAGTTAGACATCCTTATGTGTAAAAGGATGCTAACTTAAGCAAAACCTAACTCCCACAAGCCTCACGCACATTAACGCTCATATCTTTCTGAGAGCTTATACGGTATAAGGAAGAGGGAGTTCATCGTTAAAAAAAAAGACAACTAATTAGATTGGACAATATAAAATATTCGTAACAGGGGGCCTTGGGATTGAGGATTCAACTTTTGTCAAAGGTTCATTGGGCTTCTGTGATATGTGGGCCGTTTGTCCAATCTATGACTTATGTCTCAATCTAGAAACGCCAATGGTAAATAGAGCAGTCAACGGACGATGTGCTTTCATTAATTGTGCCATTCAGGCACCAAAATGGGTTGGCCTTGTTTCTAGTTTGATTTTCGAAAATATTTTTAAATTAATATGTTTGGGAACATGAGACGCATGAACATTTTCAAGCTTGCTTTGATCATTGATGTATTGATACCTCTTTATAGGAAAATTCTCAAGTCTTAGACTAATTTCTCATTGTGTTTCAATCAATTTCTTGAAAACCATACGATAAATGGATTCTAATTTATTTTCACAAACATGAGAAGGACATCAATATAATATAATATAATATCTGTCAACAATCAAAACTCAATGATTCATAGTGTAACACATAAAGCCTAACAAGGTTTGCAAGTTTGGTTAAAATTGTTCCATTCATTTACAACAATTATAGTTTATACACAGGTAAACAAATGTGACATGCAAGCTAAAGAAAATTGGGCCCTTTACTTATTCCTAATGAGTTTGTAATTGACTAAAATTTACTTTAAAGCGTACAAATTAAAAAATAGAGAGAAAACATTGGAAGAATCAAGACAAGATAAAAATGCAATATGGGATAAAATGGAAGTAATCCATAATTTTTCTTTCTTTGGATGAGAATCATGAGATAAGGCCATAAATGTAGGTTTCCTGGTCCAACACTTTATACATCGCGACACATCATCCTCAAATCTTGAATAGTCAAGAACTCCAAATGATCCTTCAATTCTAATTCTATTACGGAGGAGAAGTAGTTCTTTTTCCGCTTGTTTAGTATTCCCCTTTGTATTTTTTCTTTCGCTGCTCGTAGCAGATTTTGTTGAGTTCGGAGTTCCTGAGTGGACATAAATGGCGCTAAATACCACTAATTTCTTGTTAATAGGATAAACCATTCAGTTGGTACTCACCCTGCTAACCTGCCTCGCCGCTCCCGACGGCGAAGTATCCATCTTTTTTTTATCGTTGGATTTTGCAAGAAGCTCACAACTTTTTTCTGAAAGAAATGATGTGGGATGATTGGGATGACGATGTACGACTTGGAGAAGAAAACGGCCACGATGCTCGGCACCAGGAAGAACCACGCAGGCGAGACGATGAAGAGGAACACGACGATTCTTCTCACATTAACTTTGATTTATTATCTCTCATTTCTAATGCAAAGGTATAATTTCTCTTTCCGTTCGTAAGGAATGTGTTCTTGATTTTGAATTTCTTCGGCTGCTTCTAGGGTTTATTGGGGATTTACTTATCCCCATTCCAACTTTTTAATTTGGGTGGTACACCATTTTCTAAACGACATTAGTTTCAATGGAAGTTAAGTTTCTTTTGTTTAAATCTGACTCTTTCGGACAAAAACAAGTGTTGAAGTATGACTTTCTTTAACGGAGGGTTGAAGTATGACTTTCTTTAATGAAGGTAGTATTATTATCAGGAAGATGTTATTTTTCTTCACTGAATTCGAAGGAAAAAAATTCTTTACACATGTGATCACTTTGCAAATTATCCATCCTTTCTCCCTATCCTTAATAGCTTATGGACTAGGTTTTGAGCTTGAGATATGCTTAATCGGGCTCTTATTTAAATTTAAAATTTATAAGACTCGTACTCCTGTAGCCTCTTATATATAATGTTGGCTACTTGGCTTCTTGGAATTCCTTCAATTAGAAGTTTTCGTAACATGAATATTGGATAACAACGATACAAATACTTGTTGATATTTTCATCTTCAACTTTTATGTCCTGTGTCACTGTGTGGCAGCCCTTATCTGGTTATTGTGCTTCTCAGCAGAAAAAGTATATTATGACTCACTTATATGGCCAAAATTGATTTAACCTAACACTTTTTCTTTCAAAAATTCAGCAGAGTCAGCCTAAAACTTGCCAAATGGGCTCTATATGTTTGTGTACTGTTAAGATAATTTGACTTGTGTTATATGGTGATGTTGATAGGATTATTATCAGATACTGGAAGTGGACTATGATGCTACGGAGGAGGCTATTCGGTCCAACTTTATCCGTCTTGCTCTGGTTTGTATTTTCGCTCCACTCATCCATTTTTTATTTATTGAGTTCTCACTTTTCACTTTGCAATTATGGTTGATCTTATTCAGAGATTATCTCAATTCTCCCTTTCTTTTTGTTGTTTCTTGTATAGAAATGGCATCCGGATAAGGTAAAAGATAAGGGTAATGCCACCTCAAAATTTCAAGAGATAAACACAGCTTATCAAGGTTATCCTCTTCTTCTATTAGCTGACCACTATACTTCTTACACTATTACAGGTGTCATGTTTCTATCCGTTATTATTCTAGATTTGTTGCCTACTACCACTCTACCAGCTACATATTATTTATTAGATTTGTCTAGCATGGATAGGACTAGTTATTGAGAATGAGACTTATCGCCGTTGACATAATTTATTTTTTCAAAATTGTAAGTTTAGGGTGCTAAGTGCATAATTACAATACTCTGAACAATCGGGAGTCAGTACATAATATCCACAACTTTCATTTTTGAAACAAATAATCTGCATTCGTAGTCATGACTTGTGAGATCACTTATAGTATAAAATAAAATTCATGATATTTATCCCGCACATGCAAGTTTAGGGTTTTGAGTTGACACCTCCTCAACGTTTGGGGTATTTAATTAATTCTCGTATATTGTATAACATCAATTTTGTCAATGTAAGAAGCCCTTGTTATGGTTATGAGTTGGATTACTGGCCAAACCAGTTATATTTTCTATCAAACACTAATGACAACAACAATATGATGATACTAATAACAACAACAACAATAACAACAATAATGATAAGAATAAAATGAATTTGATAGCAGTAAATAATAGTTATAATAATGTAGGACATAATTTGTTGTTTTTTACTGAAATGATAATAAATGAGAATCTTAGCGAATTCAACTCATTCAACAACTTCATTGGGCAATTTGTTGCTTTTAGATGCCGGATTAAATTTGTTGCTGACTGATATGCTTGTATTCATGATTTTTTATTTAGTTGTTGATTTCCTCACCACCTTTCACTACTTGCCAAAGGTGTCACCCTCTCGAGAGCCTATTTGGTAGAGTGGGTTCGGCTCAGTTCTGTATATCTCTAGGATATTGTTAGAGTCAAGGGAAGTCAACCTCTTGATAATAATAATAGTATTAGCTATTATGATAAAGTGTATTCCAGAAGGAAAGGGAATAATAAGTAGTTAGCTATTATGTTGTGGGGGTCGGGTGGACTTCTATAAATAGATAGCTAAGGGATGAATAAGGCAGGCTGTAATTTGGTAGTTGGCTGGGACTGGAGAGTTGACATCTCTTTAACTGTCAGGCACTTTCTCTCTCTTTTCTGTTGATTGAATAACAAACTGTTCACTGTTCATCTTCGTTTCTCTTTTTCTGTCGCAATCCTCACTGCTTCCAGATAGATACTTAACTTTGGTATCAGAGCATCGACCTGGTAACCTGTACATGGTCGTTACGAGAGGATCAACAAGAACAACAATGGAAGTTAGACTGGAAAACTTGGAACGTGAGTTGGAACGTAGTCGTCTGGACATGTTGCGAGAGTTGGAGAAGACTCGCATGGAGGTGATGCGCGACCGCGACCGCGAAGACATGCGCGAAGAGGCTCAGCGAACTCGCGATGAGTTGCACGACTTAATCCTGCGGCGAGGTGAATCGCGCGGAAGATCCAAAACAACGAAGCGAGGTAAGCGACATGATAGCAATGAATCATCTTCGTCTTCGTCAGGTAAGCATCAATCTTCTTCGCGAGGTGATGATTACAGTAAATTGATGGAAAAGTCTGGAAGGAAAGTAGATTTACCACTCTTTAACGGACATGATGCTTATGGATGGATAGTTAAGGCTGAGCGTTTCCTTAAAATGAACCATATAGAGGAAGAGGATAAAGTAGAATTAATTACTTTGGCAATGGAAGGAAAGGCTCTTAACTGGTTTCAGTGGTGGGAGGAACACACTGAGATGAGAAACTGGGAATCATTCAAGTCTGCCTTGACTCACAGATTTCAACCAGGATTGATACATGATCCTTATGGCCCCTTATTGAGTGTAATACAAACTGGCAGTGTGATGGAGTACAGGGAACAATTTGAGTTGATGGTGGCACCCTTGAAACAGACTGATTTGAAAATACTCAAGGGAATCTTTATGAAGGGTTTGAAAGATGAAATCAAAGCTGAATTAAAATTATATCCAGTCAGAACTCTTGCAGAATTGATGGATAGGGCTTTGCTTGTTGAACAGAGGAACCAAACTCTCAGATATGCCAAAAACAAGGAAGAAGATAGAAGAGGAATGAAGGAAAAAGGGTATATTGTATCACAAAATCACAAATGGGTGGATGAAAATAAGTGGAAGAGCAGTATGAATAACCAGTCCAGTCAAGGGAAACCTGCAGTAGAAAAGAAAATGGAGACAAAAAATAAAGAGCAAGGAATAAGGAATACACACAGACGATCTCAAGCTGAGCTACAAGAATTGAGCAGAAAAGGTTTATGTTTCAAATGTGGTGAAAGATGGGGCAGAGATCACAGCTGTAAGATGAAACACTTTCAGATCATCATGTTGGATGAATCTGAAGAGGAGGAGGATGTATTGGATAATACTGTTACAGAACATGCTTCACAGTTGGAAGAGACAGACCTGAATAATATGCAGCTATCCCTTATGAGTAAAGAAGGGATAACAACTCCTAAGACTTTTAAATTGAAGGGAAAGTTAAGGAGCCACACAGGAAATAAGACCATCATAATTCTGATTGATTGTGGGGCCACACACAATTTTATATCTCACAAATTAGTACAAGCATCAAGGTTACCTGTTCTCCAGATTCCAGAATTCAAGGTGGAGATAGGGAATGGAGACATAATCTGAAACAATGGGAGGTGTGAAGCTGTTTCTCTTAACATTCAACAGATTGACATCACTCAAGACTTCTATGTATTAGAATTGGGAGAAACAGAGATGGTTTTGGGACTGGAATGGTTATCAAGTTTGGGAACTGTTGAATTCAACTTCAATCAATTAACTATCAAATGGAAGGAGAAGGATAAAGTAAGGCAGCTTCAGGGAGATACCAATCTCAGCAGAAATCAAGCCTCTTTCAAATCTATCATTAAGACTATGCAAGAGCAGAAAGAAGGATATTGTTTGTTCAGCCATGCAGTTACAGAAAACAAGGGGGAAGAAGGAGAGGAAAAATTATGGATGCAAGAAATGATGACACAGTTTGCTGAGGTATTCCAACCCCCAATTGGTTTACCTCCAAAAAGGGAATGTGACCATGCCATTACTATAAAAGAAGGTGAAAATCCTCCAAACATGAGACCCTATAGATACCCGCAGTACCAGAAGAATGAGATAGAAAAGGTTGTGCAGGAGTTGTTAAAAACAGGCATTATCAGGTCTAGTACCAGCCCCTATAGTAGTCCAGTATTAATGGTGAAGAAGAAAGATGGGGGGTGGCGCTTTTGTGGTGATTACCGAGCCCTAAATAGAATTACAGTCCCTGACAAGTTCCCTATTCCAATGATAGAAGAACTTTTGGATGAACTGGGAGGAGCACAATTGTTTTCTAAACTGGATTTGAAATCCGGTTACCATCAAATCAGGGTGAAAGAAGACATGAAGGTCACTATGAATACATAGTTATGCCTTTTGGTCTCACCAATGCTCCTTCTACATTTCAAGCTTTGATGAACAAGGTGTTGAGACCCTATTTAAGGAAGTTTGTGTTGGTTTTCTTTGATGACATCTTAATCTACAGCAAATCAGAGGAGGAACACATTGAGCATGTCAAGAAAGTAATGCAGATATTGAAAGATAATCAGTTGGTGGTCAATCAAAAGAAATGTGAATTTGGACAGAAAAAGTTGGCTTACTTAGGCCATATTATATCTGGGATGGGTGTGGAGGCAGATCCCAGTAAGGTGCAGGATATGTTAGACCGGGAAAAACCTAAGGATGCTAAAGGCTTGAGGGGATTCTTGGGACTGACAGGTTATTACAGGAGGTTTGTTAAAGGGTATGGTAAGATAGCAGCACCCCTCAACAACCTACTGAAGAAGGATGGATTCCAGGAAGCAATGGATGCCTTTGAAGAACTGAAACAAGCTATGACCAGACTACCAGTTCTACAAATTCCAGATTTCAACAAAACCTTTGTTATAGAAGCAGATGCTTCTGGAAAAGGGGTGGGAGCCGTATTAATGCAGGAAGGGAGGCCTGTATCTTACATGAGCAAAACTTTGTCAACCAGAAATCAGAATAAATCAGTTTATGAGAGAGAACTGATGGCAATTGTTTTGGCAATACAGAAATGGAGATCTTATTTGTTGGGGAGAAAATTTGAGGTGCACACAGACCAAAAGAGTTTAAGGTTTCTCACAGAACAGAGATTATTGGGGGAGGATAAGCAAAAGTGGGTTACTAAACTTTTGGGGTTCAATTTTGTCATTAAATACAAACCTGGAAAGGAAAACAAAGTTGCAGATGCTCTTTCTAGAAAAGGGGGATTTTATTCCCTATCAATCATCACCTGTCAGGAGTGGGAGGACTTGGAAAAGGAGCTCTTGGAAGATGATAAATATAAAGAGATTATCCAAGCACTTTGGGGACAGCCAGATTCAGTGCCAGATTTCAAAGTACAGAGAGGGTTACTTTATTACAAAGGCAGATTGGTTATTCCCAAGAATTCTGATAGAAGGAGTTCAATTCTAAGTGAATTTCATGAGTCAGCAGTGGGGGGTCATGCAGGAAGCTTCAAAACCATGAAAAGAATTTCCAATTTATTTTATTGGGAAGGGATGAGGAAGGACATTCAGAATTATGTTAGAAATTGTGAAGTTTGTCAGAGAAATAAGCATCAAACACTAAGTCCAGCAGGGTTGCTGCAACCCTTACCCATTCCTAATCAGATTTGGACTGATTTGAGTATGGACTTTATTGGAGGATTGCCAAAAGCAATGGGGAAAGACACCATTCTAGTGGTGGTGGACAGGTTAACAAAATATGCTCACTTCATAGCATTATCACATCCATATAATGCTAAAGGAGTGGCAGAAACATTTTTACAAGAAGTGGTCAGATTGCATGGTTTTCCAAAGACCATAGTTTCAGACAGAGATGGTGTTTTCCTAAGCTCATTTTGGACTGAGTTATTCAGGTTAGCTGGAACCAAACTCAAGTATAGCACTGCCTACCATCCCCAGACAGATGGACAAACCGAGGTGGTTAACAAATGTGTGGAAACTTACCTCAGATGTATGACAGGAATGAAACCAAAGCAGTGGCCCAGGTGGTTACCTTGGGCTGAGTTTTGGTATAATACCAACTACCATGTGTCTACTAAGAACAGCCCCTACAAAGTATTATATGGGCAGGATCCACCAGTTTTAATCAGAGGAGATGTGGCCTTAATAGCTGTGGAGGAGGTGGATAGATTGACAGCTGAAAGGAATGATATGATAGATGAACAGAAAAAGAATCTGGCTAATGCACAAAACAGAATGAAGCAACAAGCTGATAAGAAGAGAAGGGAGGTCCAACAGCCCCTACAAAGTATTATATGGGCAGGATCCACCAGTTTTAATCAGAGGAAATGTGGCCTTAACAGCTGTGGAGGAGGTGGATAGATTGACAGCTGAAAGGAATGATATGATAGATGAACAGAATGGCTAATGCACAAAACAGAATGAAGCAACAAGCTGATAAGAAGAGAAGGGAGGTCCAACTGTCTGTAGGGGAGAGGGTATATCTGAAGATTCAACCCTACAAATTAAAGACTCTAGCAAGAAGAAGTAATCAGAAGTTGAGCCCTAGATTTCATGGGCCTTTTGAGATTATTGAGAAAATCAATCCTGTGGCTTATAAGCTGAAGTTGCCTGAAGATTGTAGAGTGCATCCTGTGTTCCATGTATCTCTCCTTAAGAAAACTGTGTCTACTACTGTACAGACACAACCTTTACCAAAATGTCTCTCGGAAGAATGGGAATTACAGGTTTGTCCAGAAGAAGTAAAGGAAAGCAGAATTAACTCAGTTGGAAAAGTTGAAGTTTTGGTGCACTGGAAGAATATGCCAGAGTTTGAGGATTCTTGGGAGGAGCTGCAACAGTTTCAGAGGCAATTTCCTGACTTCCACCTGGGGACAAGGTGGTAGTTCCAGGGGGGGTGATGTTAGAGTCAAGGGAAGTCAACCTCTTGATAATAATAATAGTATTAGCTATTATGATAAAGTGTATTCCAGAAGGAAAGGGAATAATAAGTAGTTAGCTATTATGTTGTGGGGGTCGGGTGGACTTCTATAAATAGATAGCTAAGGGATGAATAAGACAGGCTGTAATTTGGTAGTTGGCTGGGACTGGAGAGTTGACATCTCTTTAACTGTCAGGCACTTTCTCTCTCTTTTCTGTTGATTGAATAACAAACTGTTCACTGTTCATCTTCGTTTCTCTTTTTCTGTCGCAATCCTCACTGCTTCCAAATAGATACTTAACAGATATACATCAATTTCAGATCAGTCCCATTAACAATAATTTGAACTATTAAGAGTTCCTGCATTTTTTAAACCAACCAAGCTTTTATAGACCTTTCTTGATATTGATACCCGAGCTTTATTCCTGCAAATTATAGAGATGGGCAGGACCATTGAATTGAATTTGAGAACATGAGAATGATCATTGTATTTAAATTGATCTGAATATCAAGTAATCAACAATTAAGGTATACATATTTTCAGAAAGTTTTATGGATGGGAATGTCTTTTGTATGTTTGGCAAACCCTTGTTTTAACCCGTTAAAGAGATTTATTATTTTAAGCATGTATCTAAAATCATGGTAAAAACTTTATGATTTATGGCTGGGTTTGGCCAAAACTATTGACATGCCCCGTTTGTTACAGTTTTTAATGCTTGCTGAATACATGAGCACTTTCATGTAGATGCCACTCTTCAAATTAGTGCTTAGCAGCAACAACAACAACGACAACAACAATTATAATAATAATAAAACATCAAGTATTTTATTGTCCATGTAACTCTCTATATGGCTCTGATTACTTGTTTATTCTAAAAAGTAAAACTATAAATAGCTAAGTCACCTGATCGTCACATTCATTGTATATTTGTATTGCAGTTTGTATTTGGATGGGTTACATTAATGAGCGTAGCACCCCACATAAAGGGCCATTTTGTCAACTCCATAGCATTCCATCTTTGAATTTGCTTTTCACATTACCCTTACCTGCCCCTGGGTTAATTCTGTTACCACATGATTTACACTTGCACCTCCTTTATTGAGTTGTCAGTTGTCACTATACCCTCTTTATTACTTTACAAAGTTACAGATTCTATCTATAATGTCAAAGGGCTATGAATGTGTGTCGGCGATTGTTTGCATTGAAGATTCTGATAATTGGCAATTCATTTTGTTACTTATATATTTAATTAATGATGGTGCAACAGTTTTGATCGATCCAGAAAAACGCCAGGAATATGATAAAAAGGGGATGCTCTGTGCCTATGACCACAACATAATGGTAATATATGGCCCCCTCTTTCTGTCTTTATTTTGTTTTATGAATGTGGAAGGTAAGAAGACGCCAATGCATGTTATGATAGATAACTCATAGAATCTTTGGTTGGGATGATTGAAGGATTATCTAAACCGTAACAAGGGACTTATTTTGACGTGCAACGGTCTCGGCGTGAAGAACTCGATATTGTAAAAAAACAACAAAAGATTCATGGGCGATGCTTGCCAGCATTGAATCCTCCCCTTTTAGGGAGTACATCTCTATCACCATAGCTGTTTTCTTTTTGTGTGTAGTATTGTATGTGACTATGCTAATTCACTAATACCCCCACCCACCATATGATCGGTGTATGTGCGAGGCTTGTCTGCATAAGTTCTGTCACTTCTGATAGAACAAACGTCCTGAAGCCCGATACCCTCCTCCCGCTGTTGTTTTCATCTGTCTATGGTGCTGCATGGAAAAGGAAATGCAAGAAGGAAACATGTCACAGGGTAATGTAATCCTTTTCTGGATTATTTTTTGAATGCATTGCCTAGAGGTTTATGAAATAATGCCTCCCAAGAGTATGTGCATTACTTTCCTCCATAAATAAACAGTAAGTCCTAAGGTACAAGCTATGTGCCATGAGGATAGCACTCCCAGAAACATGTGCACTTAAACTATTGATATATTATGTGAAGATTTTAGGCACAAGTGCCATGTTGGTTTAGTAGAGTGACGAGTGCTTGTATTTGCGATATCATCAGTTCAATTCTTGCTGGGAATAATTTGTCTAAAAATAAAATCGTGATTGGGAGTTTGCACCATAGTTTCATGCTGTTGATAGGTTAACTGACTTATATTTGTGTGTTACAAAACGGGCTTTGTTATGAATGTTTGCCACTCAAAACATTTAGGGTATGTTTGGGAGTTTATCAAAACTTTTAGGGTATGTTTGGGAGTTTGGGGGGAAGGGGAGAGGAAGGCTTTGAAGGTATGTTGTTGGAGGGGATCAGGGGAAAATGAGGGAAGGGTGAGAAAGTCCTTTGCATTTGGGAGTAATAAAATTGGAAGGAATTATAATTAAAATCACTTTGAGATATAGCCGAATTCAAATCATTGAGCTGATATTCAATTTTAATTTAGCTTAAATTACCATTTTGTTAGTTATCCTCCAAACCCCTCCAAATTGGGGGAACTTAAAAATTAAGCATTTGGAGGGTTTTGAAGGGTTACAAAAGCCCTTCAAAACTATCCCTTCCAATTTTTTAAACTCCCAAACATGAAAAGTAGGGTTATAATCCTCCATTAACCTTCTCCTCTCCTTCAAAGCCCAACTCCCAAACACAACCTTAGGGTATGTTGGGGAGTTTGGAGTGAAGAGGAGGGGAAGATTTTGGAGGTATGTTGTTGGAAGGGAAAGAGAGGGAAGGGTGAGGAAACCCTTCTTTGTATTTAGGAGTAATAAAATTAGGAGAGTTTTTAAAAGAATTACAATTAAAATCACTTTGAAATATGACGAATTCAAATCATTAAGTTGATATTCATTTCTAATCTAGCATAAATTACCATCTTGTTAATTATCCTCCAAAACTGGCCGGGCCGGTTCACCTTTTGAAGGGCACGAGCCCGAACCGCCATCCGACCGGGCCGGGTGGCCCGAACCGGCCAACCAACCGGTTCACCGGGCTGGGCTGGGCCCGCACAGTAGCGGGCCGGTCCGGTTTCGGGCCGGTTGGCCCGGCCCGAGTCCATCCCTATTACGGAGTACATTTCAAGCAATATATTATATATATGGTTGTCCAAGATATATCTGTTGAGGTAAAGAATATTATGGCAAAGTGCAACATATTATATGTTGAGGTAAATATATCTTTAGGTATGTCTAACATTTGACATATTTTGAATCCTTTTTAAAAAATCAATTAAGACCATATTAAGTTTGATTATATTTTTCTTTTTAAAAATGCACTTAAAATATTCTTATTTTTAATCTTACAGCATTTGCTGATTGCATGTGTATGGCAAACACGACTATGAGTATGTTTGCAAAAGATTAAAAAAGTGATTTTTTAGCTTTTAGTTTAAAAAAGCTAAAAATAGTGCTTTCAAGTAACAATTTCTACTTAAATCAAATATTTAAATGTTAAAAGTTAGAATCCGCTTCTTATTTTTTCTATTACACAGAAAACACATATTTTACCAAACACTATCAACTTTCACTCTTAAACACTTTTTCCAAAATCTTTTTTAAAAGTGCTTTTTTAAAGCAAAAGTTATTGCAAATCCTCCCTGTGTAGTGCACTTAATTCAGTCTTGTAATGGTACTAGGTAGTGTTGGATTCGGTTCAGGCCACCCAGCCCGTGACCTGGCCCGGCCCGTGACCCGGCCCGGCCCGGTACTGTGCGGGCCCGGGACCGGCCCGGTACTGTGCGGGCCCGGGACCGGCCCGGTCGGGCGGTCCGGGACCGGGTCTGGGCCCGAACCGGGGGGAAGGGGCGGGGCGGGCTCGGTTCAGCATTTGTGTGACCCGGCCCGGCCGGGTCGGGCCCGAGCCCGGGTCCGGTTCAATTTAAATTTTTTTTATTTATTTGGGCTCCTACTAGCCGTTGGGGGTGGGGCTGGAGACAACCCAAACGGCTATATAGCCGTTGGGTGGGGTAAAGGGGGGGTCCGGGGGGGTGGGTGGGGGGGGGGTGGGGGGGGGTGGGGGGTAAAAAAACCTATAAATACTCCTAATCTTAAACATTTTTTCATATCTCTTCTCCAATTCTTCCTAAATCCTATTCTTAACTCTCTACTCTCTAATTCTCTTATTCTCCATTCTCCAATATATTATATTTATTATTTATAGTTTATATTAATTATCTACTTATATAAACTATAAATAGATATAAATAGTATTATATTACTTATATTTGTTATCTAATTATATATTACTTATATATTTATTATATCTATTAATATAGTTGGAATTATATCTAATTAATTTGAAGTCATTCTATTACTCCCATCCGAAAGACCGAAAGTCCGAAAGAGGTACGAAATTATTCTATTATTTACACTTGTTTAATTAGTTTTAAAAATATGTTGTACACAAAACTAGTTAATTCACTACTTAATTTGCTATAACTCGAATTAATAGTTAGATAAATAGGTAATTAGTTTTTTACAATTTTTTATTAATTGCTACATTTGACTCTAGTTTAAAAAATATGTTGTACACAAAACTAGTTAATTCACTACTTAATTTGCTATAACTCGAATTAATATTTAGATAAATAGTTAATTAGTTTTTTACAATTTTTTATTAATTGCTACATTTGACTCTAGTTTAAAAAATATGTTGTACACAAAACTAGTTAATTCACTACTTAATTTGCTATAACTCGAATTAATAGTTAGATAAATAGTTAATTAGTTTTTTACAATTTTTTATTAATTGCTACATTTGACTCTAGTTTAAAAAATATGTTGTACACAAAACTAGTTAATTCACTACTTAATTTGCTATAACTCGAATTAATAGTTAGATAAATAGTTAATTAGTTTTTTACAATTTTTTATTAATTGCTACATTTGACTAGTTTAAAAAATATGTTGTACACAAAACTAGTTTATTCACTACTTAATTTGCTATAACTCGAATTAATAGTTAGATAAATAGTTAATTAGTTTTTTACAATTTTTTATTAATTGCTACATTTGACTCTAGTTTAAAAAATATGTTGTACACAAAACTAGTTAATTCACTACTTAATTTGCTATAACTCGAATTAATAGTTAGATAAATAGTTAATTAGTTTTTTACAATTTTTTATTAATTGCTACATTTTTTAGATGGATCGTCCTAGATATTCGGTTGATATGGGTAACCTCGAGCGCAACCGAACGAACGAGCTTGCGAGGAAGAGATCCCGCAAAGGTAAATCACATCTCGGCTCTTCATCTCAAAGTCAAGATGATTTTGATACGGGTTACGTAAGGAGGGATGGGGATGCGATGACCGACGAACAACTAGAACAAGAATTGCACCGACATAATTTCCGCTTTTTTCAAGATCAACCGAGGACCATTGACGAAGAAGAGCTCGAGGACGAGGACGACGATGTGGAGGAAGCAATTCCGGAGAGCCACGACGACGAGGAGGAGGAGGGTGGCGGCAGCCATGACGCCGACCAAGCAGCCTCATCCCAAACAGGTACAAAAAAAAGTAAATCTGAATTAATGGCTAATAATTTTTCTAAGTGGAAGGACCCGAACACCGGGAATTGGACCGCAACTTGCAATTGATGCAAGAAAAACTATAGCTTGGGGATTTCCGGCGGATACGGATCCGCCACAAGACACCTTAAGTCCAAACACCCGGTGGAGTATGCAAAATTAGGCGGCGGAACGGAGAAACAAACGCAAATATCGAGGTTTGCAAATAATCAACAAGCTTTTGGTAATTTCTCATACAATGATGCACAAAATTTGACAGGTATGGCTAACTTACTTGTTGAAGAAAATTTGCCTTATTTGTTTTCTGAAAGTCTTGCTTTTCGTGATTATGCACAAACTTGTTTAAATCCGCAATATAGAGGTTATAGTCGCAAAACGGTTAAGAAAGAAATTTCAAGGCTTTATGGTGCGGAAAAGGTAAGGTTACAAAATTATTTTGCAAACTTTGATGGACGTGTTACTGTATGTTCTGACATATGGGAGGATATTTATCAAAATTTACATTATTTGGGTCTGACTGTACATTATATTGATAATGATTGGCATATGCATAAACGTGTTCTTGCTTTTCGTGTATTTAATGATCGTCACACCGCTGAACATATTTATATTTTGATTGAACGTATTTTAATTGAGTATAATTTAATTGATAAGGTGTTTGCTATTGGTTTTGATAATGCTACTAATAATACTGCTGCTATTCCTAGATTGCGTGAATTGTGTGGTTCTACTTCTTTGATGGGTAGATTTTTTCATCAACGATGTGCATGTCATGTTCTAAATTTATGTGTGCAAGATGGTCTAAAAGCGTTGGGAGCATCGTTGGAGGTAGTCAAGGGGGGGATTAGACGTATTTGGGGTAATGGACACCTTAGGAAAAAATGGCATGATTATTTGATAGAAAGAGGTGAGAGATATGTGGCTTTTCCAAAAGATTTGTCTATTCGTTGGAATAGTACGTATAAGTTAATTGGAGTTCTTCTTAGATATAAACAACATTTTCCTGCTTTTATGAAACAATATGATAACTATATTATAAACTCGGCTGAGATCGACACCTGTGAAAAAATTTGTAATGCTTTGATATATTTTAATAATGCAACTGAAACTTTTAGTCATGTTTATAAACCTACCTCAAACCAATTTATTCGTGAAGCTGTTAATCTCGCCGGTGCTTTTTCAAATTTTGAGAATGCTGATTATGTGAATTATTTTGCTGGTTTTATGAAGGAAAAGTTTTTAAAATATTATTCACATATTCCGCATATTTATGGTATTGCATTTGTTCTCGATCCTCGTTTTAGACTTGGTTCTTTAGAAGAATGTTTGAATTATTATTATGCTGCTTTTTTTGGTCCATTGCCAATGTATGAGGACAACCCAATTGATCCGAAAAAAGAATACAACGAGGTTAGTGATATATTTTATGCATTATTCAATGAGTTTCATGCACAATATGGCAATGCGCCCCCTCCCCCGACACAAACATCATCTAAAGGAAAATCAATTTTCAAATCTACGTTTGTCAATCTTATTAAAAAAACAAAATCAACTTCCGCTACACAACAAAGCACAATTAATGAGATTTCTTTGTATTTAACT